TGGCTTCTCTTGCAGTGAGGTTGGGCCATGTCACCAGCTCTGGCTGATGGCCCATAAACGGGGGTGACGTTTGTCACTTCTGTAGCTGAGGCACAGAAGAGCAGATATGAGCCCTCTGTGCCACTTGTCCCTGCCACGGTAACCAGGAAGCCCTGTGCTCCAGGTGGCACAGCCACAAGTGACAGGGAGCCTGGATCCCTGAGTCACCAGTTGGAGGGGAGCTCTGTGGGGCGTTCCCGGACCTGCTGTGAACCTTGTTGACGAGAAATGAGCCTTTCTGTGTTAAGCATGAGATGTGGGGTTTGTCACCACAGCACGCCTGAGCCCAACCTCACTAACACACCTGAGAACCAAGGTCGCCTTTTTGAGGGGACCAAATGCTGCACTGCTTCACCCCTCCGTTCACCCACACTCGTTCACTCGCCAAATGACCATTGAGCATCGTCACACCAGCTTGGCAGGGCCAACTACTCACTTAGGCCCAGCAGCACTGTGCCTGGAGCCACAATACAGGTAGGGACCCACAGAAGCGTTTTCATTTTAATTTCCTTTAAAACCAGAAGAAAAAAGTGAATATAATGATAATGAATACATCATAAGGAGTCCAACCTGGATTAGACTCATCTTTACACCCACACAGATGTAAAATATAATTTTTAATATTTTTATGGAGGAGGGGGCCCATGAAAACAAAGGGGCCCAGGGCCCACGAAAGTCACAGTGCAGCCGGATGGGGGATCCTCGCCTCGGGAGACCCCATGCCTGTCTCGGGGTGAGGCCTGTGTGCTCTTGGAAGTCTCCTCAGAGACCCCAGGATGGAAGGAGCTGCGCGGGCGCCCCCACTGAGACGAGTGAGGGCTGACCCTTGCTCGAGGAGACGACCACAAGCGTTCGGGAGAGATGGAATGAAGTCCCATGAAGGTGCCCTGAAGAATCAGCACAGAGCAGCCCAACGCACACGCAAAGTGCACGGCACTGACAACCTGGCAGGAGCAAGCTCGCCACGGGCCACGCTCCCTGCCACGGGCCCGAGCTCCCCATCCTGACCCCGCTCGTTTGCAAGCACTATCGTCACAGGGGCATTTCTTCCCTGCAGACACTGTTCTCAGAGGCTTCAGACATGTTAGCAGGCGGACCGCCTGTCCTCAGGGCTCGGCTCTGCTCCTACCAGCTGTGCATCTTTGGGCAAGCGGCTCAGTGTCTGTGCCTGATTGTGTAATCAGTGAGATGATACCAAACTCACTGGGTGGTTTGAAGGGTTCGATCTGACTAGTCCAGTGCCTGGCGCATGGTCACCCAGTGATGTAGGCTATCGTCCGCTACTGAGCACCCGCCACAGGAGGCAGTATTCCCAGTCTAGCCGCTGCTCGAGCTGACTCGCAGTTCAACTGTTGGTATAGTTTTGCTGGCGGACTATAGAGCGGACCCTGCTGCCCAGGGGAGGGGTGGGGGGTCAGGATCCTGAGGTCAAGGGAAGCCATGCTGAAAGGCAGCTGTTGAGGGTTTGGACTCTGGAGCCAAACTCCCGGGGTTTGAATCCAGTTTTGGCCCCTTACTAGCTGTGAGGTCCCGGCGAGTCATTTAACCCAACTGTGCCTCAGTTTCCCCTGGGTTGTTGTGAAGATTGAGCGAGATAATATGTGTACCATCTCTTAGATATCCCTTAGCTGCACCTTAGCACAGTGCCTGGCAGAGTAAGTGTTCACTAAACGTCACCCTTGTCACTGTTATTGTTTATTATTATTATTACTATTTTCCCTCGCTTCTTTGTCTTGAAATAGCCCCTTCACAAAGTGCCAAGGAAGCTGCTTAACTACCAGAGTCTGAAGCAATCTCTTCTCTCGGCTCTTTGGTTCACAAACAGAGCTCTCCGTCCTGATCCTGGAACAGCGCCTTCTGTTTTCAGTTCACTCCTGACTCCTCTCTTCACTGAGCCCCAAATTGGCCCAGGTTATTCCCCGGGTGCTGGGACCGCTCTCCTTGTACCCTGACCAGGAATAAAGACACCTCCCCTCTCTCATCCCCAACATCCTGGCCATTCATTCATCAGAAAGCAGGGCTTAGAAACATGCATGGAACTTGATTTGCGTATATGGCTGTTTTGAGGGGTTTTGATTCAGCACATTTCCTGAGATAACCCTTATCTGGGAACTCTGTGTTATATCTAGCTGTTTATGTTATATCTAAACAACCCAGAAAAGTGGGCTGTTCTGCTTAGCAGAATATCTGACTGAAGGAGGTCACCAGCTGCCATGTGGGATGGGCCACATTCTCCCAGAGCACGAGCATCCCCAAATGACCACCACACTGCGCGCCTCCGACTGCTCTGTGAGGAGCTGGTGGGCAGGATTTCACACCTGTGGCTTCTTGTCAACGCTTCCGGGGAAGGAAGGTGGGGTGAGGGGTGGAGGCTCAGGTTACTAAGGTGCTGAACCCCGGATTGGCCAAGACCCCCAGGGGGCTCGCTCCTTTAAATATGCTCTCCTTCCTGTGACTAGCCTAGTGGACTCTCGAAACGGTGCTTCTCAAACACCAGCTGCACCAGAAGGACCCGGAAGGCTGGTTACAACACAGATTTCTGGGTCTCTCCTCCAGAGTTTTGATTCGGCAGGTCTGGGGCGGGACCCAATAATCTGCATTTCCAACAAGCCCCCAGGTGCGGCTGCTGGTCTGGGAATCCCACTTTGAGAGCCACTCGTCTAGAAGCGGGGAAAGCCATCCCTTCTGCGCATTCATGATCAAACTCAGAGTTTTGGAAAACACTCAAAACCCTGTTCTGAGGGACAGCTCAGTTTCTCCTCTTCCTCTGGGTGGCGAGAAAGACAGCTGCCTCTTAGTGGGAAGAAGGAAGCCGCCCATGCCGGCTGGGGAGCCCGCTGTCACACGGCAGACACAGAACAGAAAGGTGGAACGTTCAGGCGCCGGGTTCGAATCCCGATGACAAACCGACCGAATTCTGGGCTCTCAGCCAGGCTCTCCATCACGTGGCTGGCCCAAGGGTAGAATCAGCCACAACAATTTCTCCCCCTGTGGTCATCTGAATTCATGGAACGTTCTCCGGCCTGAAAGTTTCAGCCTTGGCAGAAAATGGGAAACCAGGTTCGCTGGGCCTGCTCAACGCTTCAGAGAACAGAACTGTGTGTCCTAGCCCCAGATGACAGCACATCCCCCATGGAGCTCCTGCCCGCAGCTTCTCGGCTCCCCGCCCCGAGGGGCCCGGACCCCTCCCCACCCCCGCTGCAGCATCCGAAAGCTGCCGCTGGGTCAGAACCTCGAGCTGACTGGTTTCGGAAGAACTGGCGGGTTGAGCAGGCCCAGGGACTCGAGGCTGCTTCCATGCACAGGGAAAGCATCACCAAGCACGTGGGGCGGGAACGCCGTTCCCTGAAATACCTGCATGCTGTCCAAGGTGTGCTGGGTGAGAAGCGAAGCAAACACGATTACAGGGCGACCTGGCGAGGAAGGAGGACACGCAGCCCTCGGCACGCCTGCCTCCAAACCAAAGCACGGCAGGACAGCCACCACAGTCAAAGCATGCACTGCCGCCAGCCCCGGGGGACGTGACCTCAGCGGGACTGTCACTGAGCAGCAGCCCAGAAGATGGATTAAAACAACAAGGACAATCAAATCAATGGGCTTCGGGCGACTGGAAGGAAGAAACTACACTTTCAGCCAGCAGACTATGCAAATGACAGTGCAGTGGTCGAGTCGGGCAATGGGAATCCAGTGATTTTCCCGCGAGATGTATGGGGTTGGGGCTCTGTTGCCACTCTCCCAGGGTATGTATTTTCCCACCTGCTATTCATCACACTCGTCCCTCCAGATATTCATTAGCTAATGGAGGCTTTCAAAAAATCGATTTTAATATATATGATGATAACGAAACCTTTTCCTGTGGGACGAATAGATTTTAAAAGGCAACATAAGAGACGCATATATTCTGTTTTAAGTGACTGCTATTCCCCTGGGGACAAGGGACGAGGTCATCTTAAAGAGGACAACCACTCCCCATACCTGGGGACAGCAGGCCCGGGAAAAGGCCTTCTTGGCCTTTCTTGACGGAACAGAACTGGGGAGGGAAGACACGCGGGGCCAACCCACACTATGCAGGCACCCTCTGCTGCTGTGTCCTTCACTAAGGGGTCCGTAATCGCCTGACCTCTGTCTTCAGCAGGTAGAAGGCCTAGCCTGCTCATTATGACTCATTTATTATTCATGGGGGATGCAGACAGCAAGGCCTCCGGGGTGATCCTATGAGTTCCATTCAGGTTGGCCCGTCCTCTCCGGAGGAGGCTGGAATCAGGCCACAAGCCAATGACAGAGGAGTGGTCACTCTTGACACACCACTCATGCTAGTGGGACTTGCCGCCATGTCCAGGCCAAGCCCCCACCATCAGGGCAGGTGAGAAAGCCCTTGCAGGGCTGAGGAGGGTCACTCACACCGTGCTTGCTGGGGACGGTGCCTGGGGAGTGCCTCCGATGATGCTCACTGCTTCGATTCCCTGGGTCATCCTTTCCCTAATCCTGCAAGTGCCTCCCCACATGCTCCCTCAGGATTAGTGCTGTCCGTTAAAACTTACCCTCCATGATTCATCTGATGGCAGACGCCCACAGGAATGGTCCATCCATGCTTTCTCCTTGGGAAAATCATCCCCATGCCAGTGAGCAGACCCATCCCCAGTGCTTCCCACCCAAGAGGAGGCAGCAGAGGACAGCAGACCACACCTGAGACCCACAGTCCTGATACTGGGTGTGTGGCCATGGGAAAATTGCTTAACCTCTCTGTGCCCATTTCCTCAAGTGTAAAATGGGATTCCTAACAGCACCTATCATGTAGGTTGCTCGTGCTGACGACATGGGAGGATGGGTGAACAGCAGCTAGTACTGGTACCCAGCAGGCGCTCAGTAAACGCTGGCTATTATTTCTACTCGCAGCATTAAGGCGATTGTCCCCGACCCCAGCCAGCCCAGAAAGGAGCCAGCAGGGCTCCATCACTCACCTCTAGCAGCTGCACGGCGCCTTCATGTTCCTTCTTAGCTTCAACCTGAGCCTTTTCATGACAGAAAGAGAAAAGAGTAAAGGTTTAAAGGGGGAAAAATAGAAGAGAATCAGATCAATGCCCACAGTATCAGGGAGTGGCTCACTGACTCTATCTCCCTAATAAGCCTCTAAATTCTAAGGGTCTAAATCTGTTCTCATTGTTCTCCCCCTTGGGGCAAGTCGGAGTGGACTCTGGTTGGGCTCGACGCTCTCTGTGAAAATGGAAAGAGTGCGCTGGCCTGGCTGAGACGGATGGGCTGGTGGACGACGGCCGGGGCGCGTGGGAGGCTGATTCTGTTCTGAGAAGGGGTCCCCCGCGGAAGGCGGCTGAACCCAGAACAGCAGGACAATTCTTCCCGAAGCCTCAGGTGGTACCGTCATTTCCCCAGACGCCCTTCACTGCTTGGGAAGCAAAACACAGTCACTCGAACTTGACCCCCAAATAGCTCGAGGTCTGCTGAGGTCTCCGCGGGACCTGCAGCAGGGGCCACGGCGGGGTCCTGAGATCTCACATGCTCTCGGCAGCTCAGCCTGCGGTGGGGGGGCCGCCCTCTTCAATTACTTGAAGCAAAGCCATCTGCTCCGCAGAATGAGAAATGTTACCAGTTCAGCTAAAGAAATTTGTCAGCATGGCTGCAGTCTGGGCCACACGGCAAATTCATACAAACCCGAATGCAACATTATTCTTTCTTGTCCGCGTAGACTCTGAGGTTCTGGCATTGCGAGGACAGTAAATATCTGCCACATTTGCCTGCCTGGCACTTGTGTCCTCCTCTCCTGGGAAGACCCCCTGAATTTGCTGGGGACCTAGGACCCCCGCATACTGAGTACAGGAGTACAGGTCCAGACTCTCAGTGAGTGGTATACAGCGGGGTGGACAGCCCAGTTAGAGCAATGAGACTGTGACTGGGAATGCTGGGAGAGAGGGAGGCCCCTTGCCTGCTGGACTTGAACCTGAGTGCATGGGAGTTTGAAGCAGCTGCAGCCATCTTGCTACCACGAGGGGCAAGGCTAGAGCAGCCAGGGGAAACCAACCAGGAAGCCGATACACAGGAGAACAGAGGCAGGACAGCAACGGAGGTCTGACGGTGCAGGGGAGGCAGTGGACTCAGCCGCGCCTGAGGCTGGAGCGCTTGGGCCCTGGTTAGCCGTATCTGAACTGCACAACTAAAACCCCCTTCTTGTGTTTTCTGTGAATTGGAACCAACAGTCCTGAGGACTATAATCGTCAGCTGTTAAAGAATGTGACACTTCCCATTTTAAAGTTGGAGACACCGAGGTTCAGCAGGAGTCTGAGGCTGTGTCACAAGACAGAAGAAACACCTGCACTATATCCCACATTGCTTATCCCATCAAACTGGTTTCCCTGGGCTCACAACTATTCCCAATGAAGCAGAAAAACACGATTTTTTATTTTCATTTTTTTTGCTGAGGAAGATTCACCCTGAGTTAACATCTGTGCCAATCTTCCTCTATTTTGTGTGTGGGTCGCTGCCACAGCATGGCCACTGATGAGCTGTGTAGGTCTGCGCCCAGGCCACTGAAGTGGAGTGCGCTGAACTTAACCACCAGGCCCCAGGGCCGGCCCCAAAACATGAATTTTTAAAGAGGATTATCTCCTATGGGGCACCTGCCTCTTAAAATATGGAGCACAATAACGAATCCATTATATTACATTGAGATTTACATTTAGAATTCTGGGTTCAGGAGGAATCTTTTCTCTAGGTCCTGGAGAATAATTAGTGATGGATTATTCTACACCATAAATAAGCTAACGAGCCTCATCTTAACAGCTTCTGCTTCTCACTCGCAAACTTCTGTGGGTCGGAATGTGGGAGGGCTTGGCTTCCCAGCACAGACCAAAAAGGAAACGTCGTCCGAGATTTCATTCATGTGCGTTTCATTCTCACATATTTCCAGCACGGCTTTTAAGAGCCGGGCAAGTGGACTGAACACAGAGCATTAATTACTCCGTTCCTGAATTCAGCTCCATCTTCAAATGCTTCAAATTGTTACTTTCAAAGTAAAAACCATAAGAATGACAAAAAATAACAAAATAGGGAAAAAAGACAAACAACGAGAGAGCATATAGGGATTATATAAATAACACCACCATCGAGCCAGTGGAGTCGAAGATAGTTTTCAACTGGCAGGAGGGAAAACAACAGAACGCGCCATCGCGGGCTGTCAGCGCCCAGCCAAGCTGGCAGGAGCTACTCTGCTTCCGGCTTCAAGTGAAAATCAGAAGTTCGTTCTCGTAGGCTACTTGCAAGCTGGGCCATTTGGGCAATCAGAATAGACTGTTAAAATTAACAGCTAAAATTGGCAGTGCTGAAATCTTGCAAAAACCTAAGCAACAGCTTCAGCGAGGCTCATTTTGGGGGCCCGTTCCAATATGTGGGAAAGCTGAGACCTCCATTTAGACACCATTCCCGACAGAGCACAGTGAAAGTGGAGCGGGACCCGGGCTCTCAGGGGCCCCGGAGAGCTGCTATCAGAAGAAGGGGCCTGTCACCCAGGAGTCAGATGTCCAGGGGGTGGGTTACCCGGAGCAGACGCAGTGATTTCCAGGGAGAAACAGAGGCGCAGAAGGGACGGCAGATCTGTTGACCAAGTTCTGGACATTTGGCTTGGCTAGACTGGGTACTCAGTACTCAGGACAATGGGCCACCCAAGGACCACGGTGACTGGGCCGGGATGATGGACGCTGGTTAGCATGGAGCAGGGCAGGGTCACTGGTGGGTGCTGATCATGGTAGCTCCACAGAAGAGCAAGTGAGGTTTGTGAGACTAGGCTGAGTGCTGTAAGGACCCTGGAAACAGGGTCCCCGAGTTCCTCAGTGCTGGGGAAGCCGAAGCCGACATTCCAGGAGCGTGTTGTCGGAGAAAACAAGACCGAGGCCAATGCTCCATGAATGAATGCAGAGGGTCAGTCTGTGATGCCCTTGCCCTCTACACACAACTAAATCCCAGCGTCCGGGGGAGACCCTCGGAATGTGGGCGAAGCCTTGACTATGCGGAGCGTGGCGTGTTCTCTTAGCACCTTAGCTTCTCCTAGTATCGCGCATGTCGGTCACAGCCATCAAACTAAGAGCAGCCACTCCACTCCACTCTGGAGGGGTTCTGAACAACAGGAAAGCCGGTCAGGTCTGCACACGAGCTTCAAACATGAAAAACCCCCTTGGCTCATACCCTGGATAGTTAGCACTGCCACTCGTAATAAGACAAGGATGTCACCTGCACAAGAAACTGTGACTCTGAAGAACAGGGGCAGCTGGATCCTGGTCGCCATTCACCCAGAGAGAAGCCTCGGGGTCTCGGCATCAGAGTCCCCAGGGGCACGTCATTTACCTGAGGCGTCTCGTCTGAGGGGGGACCTGCACCCCACAGGTTGTGGTGAGGGCCGACTGGCATCTCATTGTGTCCTTCTACAGGCACTGATGGAGTATTGCTTAGCATTCACCATCAGTTATCTTGGTCATGTTACTTTGACCATAAACTGCATCAAACGATGGAACTTACTAGATGCCCCCCTTCCTTCCCTCCTTCCTTCCTTCTTTCCGTCCTTCCTTCCTTCCCTGCTCTTGAGCATCTTCATTCGTCAGTGCTTGCTGAGTACCTGCTCTGCATCAGGCGGTGATCTAGGAGTGCAGACACTCCACTCTGGAGACAGACAATGGGCAAACACAGAAACAAGCGAGCCAGCTTACTGTGGCATCACTAAACGGGGGGCGTGGCCGGGAGTGCCGGGCAGGGAGTGGAGTCCACTTAGGCAGGGTGGCCGGGCAGAGACTTCAATGACAAAAATCAGCCCGCTCTGCCCAGGGACCAGGCCTTCTGTGCGAAGACCCCGAGAGGGGCGGTTTTGTGTGGTTGAGGACCAGAGGCCAGTGTGGCTGCAGCACGTGGACGTGGACGGAAGGGAGCGCGGGAGGAGCGGGGGAGGCAGAGGCGGGCAGGGCTTAAAGGAGGTGACGTGTGCATTCCAGGTACTGGGCCCAGAAAATTCTAAACTTAGAATAGAAGTTCCCAGGGCAGCTTTTATTATTGTTGTCATCATTCACAGCCTCTTCTCACACCATCTTCCTCAAGGCTGCGTCACCAGCCCCTGAAACACTGCTGACACAAGGTGCTCAAGACGGGTTTGCTGAATGAACGAAAGCAAGGATTCTCACCTGAGCTCGCGGCTCCATGAGCTTCAGGAAGCAGGGGTCCCAGGAGAGCCAGGTGGCTGTGGCGGCCGGTGGATGGGCCTGTGCTCTCCTTGGCTTCCTTTTAATTTTTTAAACTATGCCTCCACCCAGCGACCAGCGCGAACGGTTGGCTGGAGGGCTGTATCTGACCTTGATCCCACGGGAGCAGCCTTGGGCATTTGGATTGTTTGTTCACTCATCCTTTCTTTAATTCGACACGTTTTCACTTGGACATTAGTTCGCTCGCTTCTCTCAACCACCACACTGGGCGGAGAGAGGCGCCAAGCTCCGGGCAGAGGGAGGCCCCTGGAGAAGGCTCTGGGGAGCGGGTCCCTGTCATCAGATGGATGAATGCCAGTGCTCCCTTAGGGTGGCCAGGGCTGGAGGTGAGGCAGAAACCACAAAGCAATCTCCAAGTACTATAGAATGTGGCAAAACCCACCTCTATTGCACGGAGAATATACTCCTGGCTTACTTACACACATGCCGTCCATGAAGAAAGAGAATATTGCAGATCCAGAAGCAGAGGATCCGACGACGCACAGCGGGTGTAAAGGGCTTCCCAAGCTGACGGTGAGGCGAGCTCCCGGGCCCCAGCTCTGCCCCAGCCTCAGAAGCAGCAGCCTGGACCGGGGGAAGCAGCAGGGGCTCCAGGCAAGGTCTCTCCGGGAAGTGGAGTGAGAGCACCCCTAAGGAGGGTGAGCATCTCGAGAGGAATTAACGCTCTGTCGGAGAGTCTGGGGACAAGGCAGTGACGGGCACATGGAGGCCAGAGCAAACGGACAGAAAGAGGCGAGGCACCACAGGGAAGAGAGAAAGCTGCCCAGAGGAAACGGTGCCGTGCGCAGAGCCCGGGAGGGCAGGCGAGGACAGGTGCTGCCGAGGACGGGAGTCTGGCAGAGGGCAGGACGTGGGAGACCGACCAAGTGCAGCGTGGAGTGGAAGGTCGGATGAAAGAAGTGGGGCTCAGAGGCGGACTCTGACTCGGAGATCTCAATTTGGGAGCTGCCACACACAGACGGCATTTCAACCCACAAGAGCAGACCTGGTCGCCGAGGGAGCAAGTGTAGACCGAGAGACGCGGCTTGTGGACTGAGTCTGGGGGTACACCTGTGATGTTTACAGGGGATCTGTGTGGAAGGAGGAAAACCAGAAGAAGGTGGTCCCGGGAGCCTGCGGGGGTGGGGGTCCACTACCTCAAACTGCCTCTGGGTCAGTGAGGAGAATGAGAACAAGCCCCTGGGCATGGCGTCCGTGATGGGCGACGCATCGTGAGCCGCTGTGCTGACAAGATGAGGGTGGGGGTCCCGTTGGAGTGGGCTCCAGACGGAGCTGTAGTCAGAGAGCAGAGGCAGCTCTTTAGAGACGTCTCACACTGCTGGCTCATGAGGGTCAGCTTTGGACCTCCCATCTGGTGACTTTTATCCTGGTAGGGGGACAAGAGGCAGACTTTGCTGGATCCTCAGCCTTACAGTGGAGGCGTTATGGCTCAGTGGGTTAAGTGCAAATCCGTTTGCATCACTTATTAGCCGGGTGACATTTGGCAAGTTACTTAATCTCTTTAATCTTCAGCTTCATCCATTAGGAACCGGGATGATAATGATAGCACAGTGCGTAGGGTTCAAATGGGGACTAAGTAAGATGATGCACATTATCGAGAGGCCCTGGCACCCAGTTGGTACTTGGTCTATTTTTGGGTAAAGATGCCATTTGTTTCCTTGGCGTTTCCTGACTACTCTGGTCTTACCCCACGACGTCCCCGGCAAGGAAGGAAGTCTTCACTCCCATTCCCACACTCCCCACAGCCAGTCGATGGGGTCTGCGCGGCCCCTGCAGTGTTACATGATGAAGAAAACGCCCCCTCCACTCCAGTGTTCTCAGAAAATGGAAACACGGAGACGCTCACTGGCCTGAGAGCATGACAGTGCGCACTTACGTTCCTACATTTGTACCTCGGAGCCTCTCCTCCCGCTTCTGAAAATGCCCCAACTAGTAAACTCAACTGAGCATGTTTGAAAGACACCATGTGTGGGGCTTTCGCAGAACCCTTGAGATCTGAAAACTCATTTTGTGTTTTTTCAGTGCATAAGAGAGGAGTTTGACCAGACTGATCCCTGAGTTGCACAGACCCATCCCGCTATCTTCCCATTCGTGTGTGAACAGTTTCAGCTAAATTCCATTCGGGTGGAGTCACTTGACTGTCATGGTGGCTGTCAACGATCTTTTCAACTTTTCATTCCAGCACGCAGTCAGAAACATGCGCACTTCACAAGTGTACCTCTCGGCGCCTCTGTGCCTGAACCTCAATAGACCAGAACAAATGAGCTGCAGTGGGTCGCTCCTCCTGCCCAGATCTGCCTCATGTCTGAAGACGGAGGCACTGAGCCCCTGGATTCCTCCTCCCTTTCATCCCCTGACACTGCTGCTCCCACAGCCTGCCCTTGAGCTAACTCCTTCCTCCCCGTTATTACGGAAATGGCTTTGCGTCTGTCCATCTGCACTGCTACCACCCGGGTCCTAGACACCAGGCTTCCTACTGGCGTTAACGGGCACCCCTGCCCTGCCGTGCATCCCTCCCAGATGTTCAAAGGCTCAGAGCCCGGCAGCCGGTTTCAGCTCTCTAAGGGCTGCTCGCTTCCTTGGGATGGAATTGGGCTCTGACCTACAGTGGCAAAGCCACCTCGCAGCACCTCCCGCCCACTCCACCCTGCCCGCCCCCTCCCTCCCGGCAGGCAGGCTGCTCCCTCCGTGGGGCTTGCACACGGCCCTGCCTGCTGCCCTTGACTTCACCCTCGCGAAGCCACTGCCCCGTTGTCCATCCCTTCATTCTGTTTGTTTCCTTCACGGCATTTTCATGGTGAACTTAACTAACTCTTCATCCACTTGTCCACTGACGCCCACTCTGGGAGGGCAGAGGCCCCGTCCCTCTCGCCACTACGTTCTCGGTCTCCAGAACAACAGCTGAGCGGCTGACACACAGGTAACAGACAGCCATTTGCTGAATAAATGATTGAATGAATGAATGATCCAATTGGCAGATGGAGCGTGGCGGCCGTCCATGGTGGAAATCAGATGCAAATAAGAACTCTGGAAAAAATTCACCAGTCACATTCTGCTCAAAGCTCACCTTCCTCTTCTATAGAATCAGAGCTCTAAGAAATTACAAAATTGGCACATTTGGATTTCACTAGTTTCGCTTCCTCTGCTCCCCACACTAATGAGGCATCAGCGTGTCCAAAATAGAGACAATGATGAATGTGGGGAGAAGGGGAGCGGAGGGAGTCGGCTGATGCACGGGGGAGAACATTGGAGTGGAAGGACACCGTTGGCTCTCGCGCGCTTTCCTTGGCATCAGATGCTGAGGAAACAGAACCCCAGGCTCCTGGAGAAGGCTCTGTTGGGAAAACTGACCGGCACCCCAGCTGGACAGCGTTTGTATTTCTTCAGGCTTATGATCTGTCTCAGATGCACGCAGCCTGGGGACACAGCCTCTGAGGTCACAGTGAACACGTGCAGACACCGTGCGGGCATCTCCCGGGCACCGGAAGGTTCCTTTCGCACAGCGGGAGAAGATAAGAGGAATATTGCTGCCCGTGTCCAGTAATATCCTTTCTGGATAACATCTAATGAAACATTGCGTCTCAGGGTGCCAGCCAACTTATTACAACAGGTAATAAGGACTGTGACCGTCCCTGTCTGCGCTGGCTTAATGAAATCTGTCCTTAATATGAGGTCCCGATAAACGATCGGAGAAACAGCATCAGAAGTCTACCCGGCTGATGCTACACGCTCTGCTAATAAAGTCTGGAGGGGGCCAGTGCCTCCGACAGGTGCCGTCCCAGCCAGGCGGGGCAGGCAGTCTGGGGACTTTATTCTGAGATCCAAGACCTGGAGAGGCTGTCAGACACTGCAGGGCCTGGCCAGATGGAGGAGGAGGAGCCTGCTGCCCATCCCGGCCATGCCGGATGGGGGCTGGGGCTGCAGGACAGGACCTGCACCAGTGGTCCAGCTTGGGGGCCCCTGACAGGCCAGGTAGAAGCCTGCTGGCCTTTTCTTCCATTTGTTTGTCCACCTGGACTACACGTGCTCTGGCTGAAGGGCTGGCTGCCCTCGGGGGAGGAGTGAGCAGGGGTGGGTGGGGGACCCTGGGCTTCAGGAAGGAAATGCTGCGATGAGAACTAAGCATAGTGACCCCAGGCCCCAGGGCTCTGAAAGAGGGACCCTCATACCCATTCGGAGAAAGACAGGACGACGGAGGCCGATGACTACAGTCAGGGTGGAGTGAATGTTCTCAGCCTCCCTCGCATCACAGCTGCCGTGGGGCCGCACGCTCTCAGCTGCTCAGTCCCCCCCTCCTACCCTCCCTCGGGTTTCTCCTCTTTCTTCTTCCTCTCCTCTTTCCTCTCTTCATTTCTCTCCTTTTCCATCTTCTTTTTGTGTTCTCTCTCCCCCTCTCGCCCCCTCTTCCCTTATTGAGATTACACTAGCAATATTGCCCTGAATCTGGATTTGCTCACTTAATAACAGATCATGTAAATCTCCCCAAGAGAGCAGATGTAAACCAGAATTATTCCCTTCAGGGGCGTCATCCCGGTCTGAGGTGTAGATGGGCCTCAGTTTGCAGGACCACGCTCTGGGATGAGCACCCATTTAACCCAGTTCCCCATCCCCCACCCCACTCAGCAGTGCTGCCAAAAACACCAAGATCGTTTTGAACTTGTTCCCATGTTTCCTGAGGGCCTATGTTCAGAACGGAAGGTGGCAGAGTCAGAACACACGTGCGCTCAGTTGTAACTGATGCTGTCAGGCTGCTTGCCCCACAGCAGAAGCAATTCACCAGCATCCACAGGAGCGTCCTCTTCCCTATGACCTCGCGAGCATCGAGGGTTAGTGCTTTCGTCTGTTTCTGCAGTCTACAGCGCGAACACGCGTCAGCTCAGGAGAGACTAGGGGCACAGGGAAGCACAAACCACAGGATCTTTCCAGGAGGGAGAGGGAGGTGCTCTTGAGCCCAGGAGAGCAGCCAGCCCACCCCCACACCCAGCGAACGCCTCACGGGTCCCCCAGCCTGCTTCCTCCTCCCGCCGCCCCTGGGCACCAGGCGCCCCTTACCTTCTGCAGAAGGTCGATCTCCTGCTGTTTGGCGTTGAGAACAGCCAGGGCTTGCTCATGCTCCAGTTCCAGCTGCTGCCGCCTTTCCGCAGCCTCTCGCATGTGCTGTGGGGGACAGGGCGAGGTCAGGCCGGGAGCACAGGGAGCTGGGTCTGCGTGTGCACGCAAGCTCCTGGCTCTGACTCACCCGCCCCACACGCTCCAGGGCACCCCCCTTCCCCACCCCCCGGCCCTGCCCCCAGCTTCCGGGCATTTCCTGTGGGTGGCAGGGGGAACTGGGGAAATGCTGAGACTAGCAAAGCACCCACCGCCTGCCCTTATGTTTCGTATTTTAAATGCCGCCAGCAGAACTGAGGTTCTCATGCAGAGGTGAATTCCTCTTCTCCCTTGTTTGGAAAAGATTCTCTCTCTTCTCTCCGTTTTTTCCCAGGTCTTACGTGAAGAACAGCTAAGGGTTATCACTCTTTTCCTGTGTGCTGGGTGTTGTTCCGAGCTATTTACTGCTATTATAATAATCCTTGGAGGTAGGTGCCGTCACCTGCCCCATTATACAGAGGGGACATGGAGGCTCAGAGAAGTTGTCCTTGCTCGTCACACAGCAGTAGGTGGCAGTCCAGTACTCAGACCAGAGGCTCTCAGTGGAGCCTCCAAGTCTCAGGGTTGGGTCCCGTCTGCTCGCTCTGGTGAACGGAGTGCTCAGCCCTACGAGGCCACTTGTGCCTCCTTCATGCCTCTGCAAAGGCCCGCAAGGCTCCTGCCGCCACGTCTACTTTCTGGGGCAGAGAGGGGGGCATGTTCCCTGCTGTGCTCTCCTCGTGACACCCCGTCTGTCCTCCGCAGAGGGCAGGGGTGCGCCCCGCGAGCCCCAGGGCCGGACCCTTTCCCCTCTGAGCACCTCCCCACCTCTGAGGACCGCTCACCACCCAGTCACCCCCAGGAGAACCCAGCAGCAAGATCAGAGGCCACCGCAACCTCTGCAGCCGTTCACAGCGACCGCCTGTGAGCACTGCTGCCGCGAGGAAATGCACAAGAAAGACACTGCGTGGGAAAAGGCGTGCGGCCGCACGGCTCCCACCCGGGGGGGGGTCATCACACAGAACGCTCACGCACCACACCCGCCCTTCGAAAGGCGCAGGGGACCAGGGGCACAGCGTTTGGATCCAGTTTCCATTTCATTTTGGTTTTTTTTTTTTTTTTGTATAACAAAATATATGCAAAAGGTGACAGCGATCAAAATTTTAAAATCTGGATCTTTGACATAGAAGTCCAGATTCCTTCAAAAATGGGAAGATTTAGCCACGCGTTCCACCTGGAAGCAGTGGGCAGAGGATGGGTCAGCTGTTCCCTTCGCGGGGCACACGCCCTCCTGTCTGCCACTGTCCCCTCGGACCAGGCTCTCCTCCACGAGACCTGACATCTGAGGGGTGACCGTGTTATAAAGACAGGAGACACCCTGACATGACGGGGGACGTAACATACCTTCCTCCTCGGCTTGGATTTGTAGGTGAGTATTTTTATCATTTGTTATCTTAAATTCTCAATGTTTAAGTTTTCTACTTGTTTTTAGTCCCAAGGCTGGGGAAGGGGCACGTGGGGCGGGCAGAGGGCAGAGAGGCAAATTCTATTCTCTTCACCATTTTCCCTAAGTCCCCCCACCCTCTGCCGCCAAAAGCTCTTTCTTCGGGAAGGACCTCGGAGCGGAACCATTTCAGCTGCAGGTGGTGAGGGCGCGGTTTCCAGCTCACCAAGCTGAGGTTCGTCTGCACCGAAAAAGAGAAGGCTGCCCGTCCAGAGCTTCACGGGCGGCGACCCCACGTGCCAGATCTGTCTCCAGTGCCGAGCGCAACAACCCTCCAGTCCCGTCTACCGTCTCCAGAAAAGCACCCGGCTCCCTCGGAGCTGCAATCACCCCGCACCCGGGAGACAGGTGGCAGTTTCAGTGTCGCTATGGAAACCTGCCAGCACCCAGGACCCCGGGGAAAGCAGAACCCCCCGGAATACGAACAAATGCCCACAGATGTGGAAGCAGGCGTTGTCTGGCGATATGATAACCTGCTCAGGTTGGGCTGGCCTGGGTTCGTGTCTCTTTGTGGGTGGGACAGACAGAGAAACAGCACACACGTGTCCTTGCACTCCAGCCTCCAGCCTGACCCGTCCTGCCTTCCCAGGCAGGAGGGTGTTGTCTGTGTGTGGCCCTCCCCGGAGCCAGTCTGCTCTGCAGAGCTGTGGCTCCCAATTTGGGTCTAGCAATTTCTAAGGATCCCTTTACAACAGACTCCACTCCAATGCCCACCGCCAACCACAGTGGGTACAAACCGCGGCACAGGACATGAGGCAGGTTCGGAGCACGGGGACCTGCCGCTAAGAGAAACAAGCCAACAGACTCCAGAGACATCGGGAATTCGTGGAGCTTCCAAGACGCTCCCGGAATTCCTCCCCGAACGCTGCTCACTGCCTCGGAAGCTCCGGCCTTGGGCTTCTCAAGTCACCAGAGCCATGAAGCCTGCTGTTCTCCTCGCCTTCGTGGGACCGCCACAGAGGAGACGGACTCATTCACGTGAAGCTGTTAGGTCTAGAGAGGAATTTCTGTTCCATTTCTCCATTCCTTGTTTCCTCTGTGCCTTTATTCATTCAACCAACATTCATGGGGTACGTACTCTGCACCAAGAAGCTGGGGATACAGAGCAACCAGATTCTGCCTCCACGAACAGACATTCCACTGTGGAGCAGAGAGAGGAGGCACAGCAAGAAAACAGACAAGAACATGTCACATGGCAGCAGGGGTGTGATGAGGACCACTGACATTTGCATTCGACCGTCGTTCACTTGCAAGAATGGCGATTCCACACAGCCTAACGCTGACGCTGTGTTCAACCAAGGCTGTGGGGACCGTCTGTCTGAGGTGAAGACGAAATTCACTCACTGACATTCACTCATTCATTCATCAAATAATTACCAAGTCCTTGACACACGCCAGTCACACGCTGAGCTCTGAAGGCACCAGCGATACACAACAAGCACTCAAGTGTGTTCACACTCGAGCGGGACACGGACCACACACACGTCCCTGAAACAACACGCAGCATGCAAGGTGGTCCTGAGTGTCAGCACAGGATGGGACGGGAGCTGCCACAGGGAGTGACATGTCCGGAAGCTTCTGGAGCAGACGGAGAGACGGTGGGGAGCTGAGGTGGGAGAGGGCTGTCTGGGCGGCTGTGGGGGTCTTCCAGGGGCAGGGGTGCCTCCCATTCTCACCCAGATGTGGCAGCACGCCAACCGCTGACAGGGCTCTGAGGGCGTAAGGACCCCACTGAGCTCCTGGAAGGCTCCGGAATGTCCCCTCGCTCCAGACACTGGCTCCTGGCTGGGACGACATCCGCAGGAAGGAAAGACGTGGGGGAGGAGGGCTCTCTCCTCCATCGCTTCAAGGAGGAGCGTCTTTCCAGAGTACGACAGCCGACTTCCCCTTAGGTCTCAGCAGTCAGAACTGGCCGCACGCCCAGCCTGAGGCCGACCTCCGGCAGCCAGCCCCGAGGAGGCTGCACACAGGTCCCTGCCTGGCTCAGAGCCCTCTGTGGCCCTCATCGCTCCGGGTGCTGCTGTGGGGCTGCGCGTCCCGCCTCCTGCTTCCTCTCTGACGTCACTTCTACCACTCTCCATCTCTCGCACTCTGTTAGGCACAACAGGGTTTTCTTGCTCTTTCCAAAGACCAGGCAAACCTCTGCCTCAGAGCCTCTGCACATGCTGTTCCCTTGCTTAGTCACACTCTTTCCCTAGATATTGGAAGAGCTGGTTCTCTCAAATTCCAGCCTTTGCCCAAGTATCACCTCTCAGCGAAGCCCCCCTGGCTGCCATATTTAAAATAGTGACCCACCAGGGGCTGGCCCCGTGGCTGAGTGGTTAAGTTCGCGCGCTCCGCTGCAGGCGGCCCAGTGTTTCGTCGGTTCGAATCCTGGGCGCGGACATGGCACTGCTCGTCAGACCACGCTGAGGCAGCGTCCCACATGCCACAACTAGAGGAACCCACAACGAAGAATACACAACTATGTACCGGGGGGCTTTGGGGAGAAAAAGGAAACAATAAAATCTTTAAAAAAAAAAAAAAAAAAATCCCATTAAAAAAAAAAAAAAAATAGTGACCCACCCCTCTCCTCAGCACTCCTTATCCTCCAGCTGCTGTAAGTGGCTCCAGAGCACTTACTGCCATCAATACAATATACTATTTCTTTTTTTTTTTTGCTGAAGAAGATTCTCCCTGAACTAACCTCTGTTGCCAATCCTCCTCTTTTTGTATGTGAGCTGCCACAGTATGGCCGCTGACAGACGAGTGGTGTAGGTCTGCACCCAGGAACTAAACCTGGGCCACCAAAGCGGAGCATGCTGAACTTAACCACTAGGCCACCAGGGCTGGGCCACACTACACGTTTTACCTGCACACCGTCTGCTTCTCCACCCTGGGAGTCGAGTGGGCGCCCGGCCCCCAGCTGTGGTTCCCGCCCCTGAAGAGGTGCTCAGCACAGAAGCCAAATCCTGACCGAGGCCACACGGCCCTTTGCCATCTGCCCCTGTGACGGCCCGCAGCTCAGCCCCTGGCCGCCCCCTCGCCCCTCTGCTCCAGCCACGTGGACCCTCCCCCTGGAACCTCCCAAGCATCCCCGTCTGGTGTTACAGGGACAGCACAGACATCCAGGGACAGCAGAGATGTGCTCTGGCCTTTCAGGTCAGCCAAAGGTGGAGGGCGGTGTTTAAGAGCCAGGCAGCTTGGGTTCCAGTCCCAGCTCTGCTGCCTCCCAGCTCTGCAACCTTGGGCTGGTGACTGAACCTCTCTGGGCTTTATTTTCTTCTTCTGGATAAATTATTCATTAGCATTATTATCAATGTGTAAATGCTTAATTAATTAAGAGTTAAGTAAATCACTAATGCTGGCTAGTTAATTATGGATTAGCACCTGCTTCCTAGAGGCGTCTCGAGCACCACAGGAGCTAGAATAGTACCTGGCATCAATTAAGTTCTGTGTTACTTTTCAGCCTGAATGTAAGGAAAGCCCCAGCCCATCGACCGTCTTCAGCAGCGGGTAACACAGTGTCCTAGAAGGCTGCTCGGGT